CGGCTGGCTTATGGCGCAAGCAGCCACTTCTGCATGGGATGCGAGTTACGGCGCGTTGCAAATGCTGCGGTCGGTAAGGTGAGGGATCGAATCCTGGGAGTCAGCTGAGTGATAACTGTTCGTCTATTGATAAACCACTCATAAATGAAGAAATAAATGATCTTGCGCTAGTGACCGCATGTCTATGGGAGTTCAATGCCAATTTTCAACACACGCGAGATGTTTTTGAATACCCTGCTTCGGATGAGAGGCAGAGCCTATGCTCGAACACTGCAGAGTGTTCGAGCACACGGAGCACCGCGTGTTCCGATTTTCACAGCTGGGCACTGCATTGGTTTAATCTTTTTTCTGACGATATTCAAGTTCATCCCGCGTCGTGCCAAAGGGAGCGGTTCAAGGACGAGTGGAGATTCCGTCAAGGGTACTCCTAGATCTGCACGCTTGAGTGCTCTGGTGGAAGGGAATACGAGTGCACAGGTTACAATTTTCTTTCGTCCATTGAGTAAGCTCTTGATACCAGAAATTGCTAGGCAGTTGTTCCTGACTACGCACAGAGGCTACCGACGGGGCAGTGCACGATGGGCATGATGGTGCAGGAAGAGGCATAACACATTACTTACAGAAGAGCATAATACATTACAAGCGTTAGAATGGCTTTGAAAATGCCTTTGAAATTTATGCATGTACAGAAAAAAGTGGCACTGCTTACTCAGAAGACACATGGATGTAACCTGTAAGTAGCTTCAGGGGACTCATTCTCCAACGTTTTTAGAATGTTTAACGCGAACACTACGGGCAATACTGAAAAGCTTCGAAACGGGAAAATGCATGAAAAAGCCTTCAAAGCCTCGAAACCGGCAATGGTCCCCTCCACGCCCGCCCCCCCCCCCCTCCTCCCTCTGAGTCGTTTATACGCACGTGAGGAAAACATGCCCAGTTTAAGGTTAACAGGTCAGCTTAAATTGGGGGGGGGGGGCTTTTGATAATAACCACTGGGTTTATTTGGTGTGAACCTTGCACGGGTTTATTTGGTGTGAACCTTGCACGGGTTTATTTGGTGTGAACGGGTTCATTTAGTGTGAACCGGGTTTATTTGGGGGAAAATTTGATGTACTGGTCCTGAGCGTTACTAAGTCTTGTTGGAAAATCAAACAATGCATTTGTGCACTACTGCAACGTTGCAAGAAGTCGCAACGAATTGGTAATTCTTTTGAGAAAACTCAGCTCGATTCAAGGCACTGCCCATGGTCACAAACAAGCAGCTTTATGCAAAAAATCACCTCGTAAATTGATTCTTGATGGTAGTTTTTGGCAGAAGCCTAAAAGGTAAGACAGAGGTGAATTCGGTTTTTCACAACCAGACTAAGTTTATATCTGTTGGCACGTTTAAGTTGTCCTTTTGGTATATCACTGCTAGAGACCTGTCGAAACAACCATTTCATCTATCTCAAATCACCATCTGATGCAATTGGCCACCTAAGCTAATGGTGGGAGAGGGGGGGGGGGGGGGGTAGTCCAGAGCCTAGACCCCACACCGCACCGGGGTTCATTGAGGCGTTTTTGGATCCAGACTGATCCCACTGGTCCATCCCTGACCATGTGCATGGTGCAAGGCTTGCCACGACCTGCCCCGGTCATCCTTAGAGTGTGTTTTAACTGTAATATTCCATGCTGAAAATCGCACGTGCCACACCACGCCACACCAATCTGTATGTGCGAAAGCGCGACAACTTTTGCCGTGCCCGTTTTTGCCGCCCCGACAGTTCAGCAGTTCAAAGCGTCTAAACAGTTTCGATTCACCACCCATAGAGAAGTTGGTTCTAGTCGATTTGGGCGTTCCGTCATTTGCCCTTGACTGAATGTAGCCTGCGACCGATGGACAGAGGCCGTGCCAAAGGTCAGGCGATGTCAGAGACAGGACGGACCGAGCCTAGCAGTTGCGGGCGCGCTGAGCTTTCGCCGCCAAATTCTGACGTTGACCTGGAATTTCACGATTGAATGGTGGAGGTCAGGACTCACACAACAACTACATCTTAGCCTGAGCTGTGATCCTAGAGATCCATTCATTCAAAAGGTTTAAGCTCAATTTTTCGGGACAAATTCGAATGTGCTGTTGTTGAAGTAGACCAGGGGAATGCCGCCAATCTGGGGGAGCTTCATTAATTTGCACCCTTCTTCCCACACGTGAGCGCCAAGTAATATAAAGTCAATCAAAATCTAGACCTCGGGGCTGGCTATCTTAAAGAGAATGCTCCACATTCAAAGATAATGAAGCGAGCATGATACATGATAAAATGAGGTCACTTCTAAATAGTGGTGTACTTGTTACATGGAAAAGGCTGCCCTAGACAACACAAGTTCTCTGTTCAGTAAAATATGCTCCTCAGCACGTCATCGTTTGATTACGTCAGAGCAACTTGCACAACATTGATTAAAAAACAATTGACGGTCTTACGTCTGAAAATCGTGCCCACAGACGTGAGATATGAACGGCCTAATGATTATGTTTTATTGGCCTTGGTCCTTGCACGGCCAACGAAATGTAATGATTTAAAGATGTTACTATAGCGTAATGGATGCCTGAGTGACCTTGAAAAAGTATCCCCGAGGATAGTCTGCATACCTTTGCGGGCGTGTGGCTCAGAAGCTAGAGAGGTTTATATTTTTTGCTTCCCCTTGTTGGCACGGACAAGACTGGTAGCTAAAAACAGTATTTCCATAGTTTGTAAATGATCTAAATCTACTCCAGATACGGGCGACTGTTATCTGTTCTGAGTTAAATTTTGTTTACATGTCATCCATGCTTATCCTTGGCTAGCTCCCATGAATGTGAAGTGGGTCAAATCTTGCAATTTTGCCTCTTAACGCACATCCGTATCTCCTAGGTGATCCTGACCTGGATCCTGACCTGACCTGAAGGTCGTCCTGACCTACCTGAGGTCGCCTGACCTAATCCTGACCTAACCTAGAGAATATCTTGACCTGAATCTTGAGCTAACCTGGAGGTTGTCCTGATCTGAATCTTGAGCTGACCTGGAGATCGTCCTGACCTGGCTTCTGATCTGATATGCAAGTCGTCCTGACCTGAATACCGACCTTACCTGGGGATCCCGTTTGCAAATGAACGTCATGCATCGGCGGTACCCGACACGGGCGGAGCCGGCGCTATCGGTACGTCCTTTGTCATCGGTCTAGCTGCCAGGCAATCCGCCCACCCAACCGCGCAGACTTCTTGCTCCCCGCATAGGCGTCCCCCCGCAGGGCCGCCAACCCAGCGGTCGGCACCCTGTCCTAGTTACTTACCCGGCAAGCCGCCGACCCAGGAAGCAGCGTCCCGCGTTCACCAGGCTGACATCGATAGAGTAGTGGCATTGTGTTGAACTAAGCGCTCGCTTCCTGATTGCCCGCATCCTGTTTTGGTTTGCGTTCACGTTGTGTTTCATGTGTTAAGTGATGCGTGCTTGTGTGATGTATGCATGTACATTTCTGCATACACGTTTGTTGAAGCGCGTCGTCGTGGCATGCATAGCCTTAAAGAGGGATATGCCGGGAAAGTGGCGTTGCTTCCTCGTTTCGTCATCTCATCAAGCATTGATAAAGGACGGGCCGTGCATAAGACTTACTTGATAAATGGCCACCATTCCTACCGAGTGAGCTCATAAGTAACGGCGCGCACCGACGGTTATTGCTAATGCGCTCGCATCCCACTGCACGTGACTGTACTTGATTCACTGCACTTTCTATCGCCTGTCCAGTCCTGACAGGCACGCCGATCTCTGATCACGCCAGCTAATGGGCTATAAGTCAACCCGGCCTGTTTCTGCACGCCGCGAGCGACAGCGTAATTGATGCGCGCCCGCGCGCAGAGCTCGTAGAGGAGCACCGGTGGGTGGCGCCGGTAACTAAATCGGCCCGTTGAACACCGCCATAGGTCAACGGTGCCAGCTTAAAACGCTCATAGGCGGTGCATGGTACTACGTCTTCGCAGACCGGTAAAGAAATCCGGTAGACCGGTAGCAAACTTCGGTAGACCGGTCGAGGAACACGGTAGACCGGTAGAGAAAGTCAGTAGACCGGTAGCGAAACGCCGGCATGGCTCAGTGGACCATTCGACAAATCGGACAGGCTGACTAACATATGCTGCTACCCCACTGCACCATTGAGCCCAGGCGCCTCACTGCAAGTTAAGTCAGCGATGCACCGGGTCATTCTTTTGTGGACATACCCTGGAAGCATACTAAACCCCTGGGTCACCACCCTGGGTCATTATGCGGCTTGAGTCAGCAATCCATGGCAACAGCAATTCCGCAAGACCCAAGCCTTCTTTTCATCCAAACTTCAGTTCTGCAACGCAATAAACATACTCAGTCACGGCATGCCAAACATGAACAGAAATCGCACCTGCACACGATGTTGAAAAGGATAACATATCTGCAGATCATTTAATCAAGCTCATTCATACACAACATTCACATCTTCCGTCATTCGGGATCAAAACCATCCAAGTCCAGGTGGTAAGCACACTCAGATCACCTTTCCTAACCAGTTATATATCGGTGTGATCTAGGCGAATGTGAAATAGGTATGCCTTGCGCAAAAATGTGGTGAATCAGATCCACGTGAACCCGAACGTCTTTAATCGCTACATGTTAACATGACTACACCGACCTAATGTGAAACATTGGTCAAACAACATATCTGGAAACAGGGCATGTAATATTTGTCGGGCAGATATTACGCCAAGGCATATCAATTTTTCTCTTCCTTGCAAAATATGAAGCATCCGACAATCACTCTGTAAATGTTCACAACATCAAATTTATCAGCTAATTATAAGAGCATGCAATCCATCATCTCACAAACAGGTTTACCCTCTCACAATCCTTCTGCCGTCACATTGCAAGGACTTCAAAACATGGAACGTGAAATTTATGGAACACTGGAAAACCGCAAGTTTGTACACGCATTTACCCAGAATACCTCGACGAAACCTTCCGCCGGATACGCTACCGCCTATCGACCGAGGACGCGACGCTCTGCAGCCTTTGACCGCGTGCCACCTTCGCTAGCCGAGACGGATCGTTGTGCGGCCATCGTAGCGAGTTCTTCGGCGTCGTGGTCTCTTCTGGCTCTTCTGGGCGCGTTTCAGCACTTTCGGCCCCGGTCTCACGAACATGCGCTTCCAAAAGCTGCTGGTGCTGGTTGCGTTCCGCGGCACCGCGACCTCAAACTGACGAATGAGGTTTGACAGTTTTGAGGTCGGCTTGGTTCCATTCAGGTTGTGCTTTGATTCTTCCATTGGCGTTGGTTGCGACTCACTGGCGTTCTGCTTGCTCTTGGGCACGATGGCTGGGTTTTGACCGGGAAGTCCTGAAAAGGAAATGCGTTGGTCGAGGCACGTCGGAGATATGTGTTGTACATGGCGCGGATGCCTCGTTGCAGAAGAAGTGGGGTGCATGTGCATGCATATATATATATATATATATATATATATATATATAATTTTGGCATATTCTACTAACTTATTACTCATCTTTGTTTCTGCCAGGTGCAGGTGCAGGTGGCACGAGAGAAGCTCCAAGTGAAACGCTGCCACTTGTGCTTCTCTCCTCCGGACATACAGCTACTGCGACACACCCTGGTTGCATAGCCCACAAGTGTCATTCACCGAATAGAGTGTCGCGTGCCATGCCAGAGCCATGAAGGTACTGATATCACAAGACATGTCCTGGAAGGTATGCACCTTCCAATCTACCTTGCCACGTTAGACCTGGCAGGTACAGAATGTCTTATCAAGGAGGCTTTAACAATTGTTACTGAATAGCAAGGATTTCTTCCACAGAGCACACAAAGTACCTCAAAGTCAAAAGCCATTCCTTCAGGATTGCGCTCTCATCACCGCCCACCACCATGGACGTGTGCGGGCATGATGCGCCAGAAATGCACCTGTGACGAACATGGCTCGTCTGTTGACCCCAAGCTCGGTTAACGTTGGCCCTGCTGTGGCCTTTGGCAGGGACTTTGTCGACGTGTTTTTTCCCTGCGATAAAAAATGCCGTCTTAAACTTCAGAACATTGAAACATGATTAAATTATTGCTTTATTGCAAAACCAACGAATGTTTTCCTTCTGCTTTTGAGTCATAATCAACCGCTTGCAATCGGTTGCAAAATAGTCGTGCATGCATCTGGCCGGAGTCATGCACGCGCCTGGCCGGAATCTGGCCGGAATCTGTCGCACGCGGTCTGTGTCCCGATACTGGTGCATGAGATTCATCCACGAAAACTAATGGCTCTCCCGACGATAGGCGTACCTGGCATGCGCCTTTAATTGTTGTCAAAAAGCGAGATGAGACAGCTAATAGTCACGCTGTCTGTGTGTGCCAAAATTAATTTTATGTTGCATTGCACGTATTACTCGGGCTCAGCCAAACCAGAAGCAAAGAGCTGCAGAGCCTGGTAAACAATTTCTTGTAGAAACAAGGCACAGCTAGTTCACAGGAATATGGAACTATGACTGGGTGTATATATGTTTGTCGAAAACCCGAGCCATCCATTTCAGTCTGCTTGGCAGAATGTCTGAAATAAGCAACAATTTTTTAAAAAACTATATATGAATTTAGGAAATGCAGTATGACAACTATGTGAACTTCAATGCAAGCAATATATATATATATATATATATATATATATAAATATACATATATATGAACAGTTTGTATCTAGATGTCAAGGTTAAAGGGGAAAATCACCTAACTTTTCCGGAAAATTTTCCCTCGTACGTGCTCTCCTCTCAGCCGCCATGAAAAGCTCGGCGCTCTCCGCCTGACTTGCCCGTTTTGACGTCATTGGTAGCGGCTGACGTCTTTCCGTCAGGTGACCCGTCTGCACATGTTCTGTTGGTGCCTGGTGTGTTGTCATTGGTGGCGGCTGATGTATTTCCATGAGCTGGCCCGTCTGGACAAGTTCTGTTGATGCTGGGGGCTGTACTGGCGCCGACTGCCTCGTCCTTGCCAGAGGCTACCTCGGCCCCCGTGACGCTGTCAGGATGGGCTCCTGTGGCTGTGCCGTTGGAGGCCATCTGGGAGGAGAACATCTGCTGATGACATCAGTGCGAAAACCATGTACAAACTGGTCCCCTCCCGTATATATCGCTGTTGATCATACCACCTTTCCGTTGATGAATTTGGGCTTAGGCCTCAACTTCACTCACCGCTGACACTGAAATGCTGATACTGAATGCTTGGACTTAATGTTCCAAATGTTCTAGAAGTTAACCCAAAGGCAGGTCTCCGAGGCACTCCCAGGCCGGCGGCGGCTACAATTAATTCCGGCAATACCACGCACCCGCGGCGGCCGTTTCGCCACAGTGAACACCACGATTTAGGCGGCCACCAAAATCAAGTTCTAAAAAATAGCAGTTAATCAGTACTCGTAAAATAATAAACATAAAACAGCATCGAGAAAACTAAACAAAACTAAGCAAACAAAGACGAACAAAACCTAAATGAAACAAAATCAGACCAACCGCACGCACGCATAGACACATACACACACATATACATGTACGTATATATATATATATATATATATATATATATATATATATATATATATATTATATATATATATATACACAAACAAACAGAACTAAATAAATAAAGTGAGATAATAATGCTTAAAGGAATTGACGACCGATGTCCAGGCTGCGTTACAACACTGTGAAATACGGAATGAAGCTGAGCGCCCTCACGAACCAAATGAAAATGACAGTCTGTGAGCTACATTGTGATTGTGATTTCGATTGGGCCCTGTGAGATGTCTTACCTCTGGCTGTGTCGTTCTTGAGGGCCGAGACTCAATTGAGTCATTCCTCCCTTTCAACGACAATCCCAATTCTGGGTCTGCGATGTCCTCAGCTGAAACCGATCTAGGACTCGTGACGTTATCTGTCGTCTTAACCGGCGCCGATTCCCGAAGGGTGACGTCATCTGACGTGTCCTCTGATGGCTGTGTTTGATTGGTCGCTTCGCGCGGTGCACGAGGTGGCGGCAGAAAAGCATGGTTGGTGGCGGCACGGGCCGGCTTGTGTGGAGCACCGCTAATTTCAGAAGACACCGGAGGCACAGTAGTCGGCAGCCCACCAGATCGCGTCTCCTCATCACGAGTTGCATTTAAAGTGATGCTTATGTTCGTCTGACTGCTTGCAGCTCTGACGCCTGCATGGAACGGAGCGAGAGTGTTTCAAACTAGCCCGAAGCTCGCATGTGGGTGGGAAACGGCGTCGTTGCACACGTGTTGACTCGACGACCGTCTAGTGCCGTGAAAATCCGGGAGGTAAGACATGCCAAATGGATTAACACTACATCGACTTCGGGTGCACCTAACCACATGCACCAGACACATGAAGAAGCCTGCTCAGCGTGCATTCCTTCGAGCTGAGCCCAGATTCAGCATGCGAGCATGCGGACATACAAACGTGTGAACATTGAACATGTGAACATTGAGCGTGTGAATATTAAACATGTGAACATCGATCATGTGTACACTCGTTCAGCATGCATACCTCTGAACTGAGCCCAAACTGAACATATGGTCATGCAGATATGTGAGCAATGAACATGTGAACGCTCGTTCAGCATGCACACCTCTGAGCTATGAGCCCAAAGCCGCATGCGTTCATGCCATTCATAATTTTTGGTACAGCTCTCGAAGTAAGGAGGCGTGCAGCATATTGAGATCCTCTCAGGCGCGGTGGGAATCTCCCAGCTGTGACCTTTTAACCTTAACTGCGCACCATTATATTCAACTCATCCTCATCAGCGTGCATCATCACCTTACGTCGCAAGTTCCATGCGCACGAAAAACATGAAACCTTGTCCGAACCTGGTCCGCACGCGGAGTGGACCGGGCGGTCAAAACCTGGTCCGCACGCGGAGTGGACCGGGCGGTCAAAACCTGGTCCGCACGCGGACCAGTTGGCAGCCCTCACCACCATCGCTGCCGACGGACGAGAGACCGGTTTGATCAGCTACTCACCGTTGCCAATCACAGCAGCCGCCACCAGCCACCAGCCAGCCACTAGCGAAGCGGTAACCATAGCAACGGCGGCTCGCCGCGAACGCCACGCGGCGCAGAATGCCCTGCGGCCTTTGCAGCGGCGGGCGGCCGGGCGGCGCGGCCACGCGCGGCCCCAGGACAGCAGGCACCAGCGCTTTAGCCCAGCACTGGGTGCGGTTTGCGAAGGCTGGATTTTCGGCCGCTCTACGATGCCCTGCCGAATCTCTCATAGGCTGTATTTCAGACCGCGTTGAAGGCCATATTTGACATATTTCGTACTCGTTCGCCAGGCCAGATGATGCAAAATGTACGCCATTGTAGACCGTTTGAATCGAGCTAGGAGGTCTGACATTTGAACTTTACTGCGCACGATTGCATTTGTGATGGATGGTTTTGCTGTAGCCATGTCAGTGCAACCTCACTGCTTGCATGCATTATGTGTGTGTGCAGGACCGGTGCATGCATGCAGGAATGATGCTGACTGATGTATGATAGGTGATTATGTTAGCCTCTGGTCTAATAAGGGGGGTGTGGTCGATGCAACCCCCCCCCCCCCTTTAAGCATCCCCGAGGATACCTCTCAGGCATATCATGCAATGACACCCAAATGCTCAATAGCCTACGGGCATCCCTTGCACGTGTTTTGACACAAAAATGTCCCTATCATTTCTGATTCGAAGCAGCGGCGGTTTTTGAGCGAGACTGCACGGCGATATACGACCGGCGCGGCCGGCGGACGGAACCGGCAACGGCGCGCAGGGCGGGGCCGACATTGTTACATTAATGGGGCTACACGTTATCAATATATGATCAAAAGGCATAAAACGATGCTTGATAGTACTCAGAGTGTGACAAGGAGCACGCCTGTTTATATCTCGTGGCGCTATGAGGTGTGGTCCTTGCATATGAGGATGCTAACTTGAAAAATTCGACTTCGAAAAATTTGACATTGGGCGGGGCATATGGGATGAATTATTGACATCGACGCATGCGATTTATTACCAAGTGCGAGATATCGTTAAGACCAATCTAATGGTGTTTTCTCCCAAGCTTTATTTCTTACTGTGGAAACGGTAGGTGGGTAGCATCATCCCCTCCCCCCCCCCCCGCCCACCCACCCAATCAGTCGCGTTAGGAAAAACAGCACTTCAGGGCGATGGTTAAACCACGGCTACTGGATCTAGGTTAAACGGTGTCAGTATGCGGGCTGCTTGCAGAAACCACTGCTTATGGACTTTTTGCGCCTCTCGCGTGCGCTCTCAGCTTCAGTGACTTCAAAGCGAAGTATTCGTGCGATTGAGCAGCAGCTTGCAGTTACCTTAATTGTCGAGCTGACTGCAGGTGGAAGACGCGGCAGCATGCACCGGCGCCGATGTGTTTCGAATGGTTTCGTTGCAGAGGTAACTACATCGTTAGCAGAAGTTGACTGGAGTCTTGCATGTAGCGGCATCTATTCAAAGCAGGAAAGCTATAGTACATATGCATATGCTACGATAACACGCCAATGCGTTCAAATACCAAGCACCCGCCTTCCATATTTCGTTGATCTCCGGAGGCTATGTCCAGCGGTTGCTGTCCTTTTTCCACCCTTTCTCTTCCCCAAACGCAATCGTTTCTTGCATTATTGTCATATCTTCGTCCAGTTGCGATGCTTCCTTGTGTATGCATGTTTTAGCGGACTTTGTTAACACCTCTAACAGAACCCCTTTGAAGCGGTTTAGCGCACCGTCAGACGCTAGTATGTTGGCTGGGTCGGGGTCTTCGCCCATGGTCGACGATTTGATGAGAGAGATGCGACCAAGGAGAGATAAGACATTTAGGGCGTGGGCGTAGTTCCACAAAATGAGTTAGGTAGTGAGCAATAAAAATTACACAAACCACCACTCAAAATACACTAACAAACGGGTTTCTCTCCGCATTTCGGCCTGCTGTCTTTCCAAAGTTGGCGGCCTGAAGTCCGAAGTCCAAGCGGGGAGGGAGGAGGAGAAGGGGGCTGGAGCCCCCAACTTCATAGAAAACTGCACACCTGGTTTAGAGGTAGTCCTGCGGCCACGTAGCAGCTGCCCGCAGAGTCGTACCTCACTTGCGGACCCTCCATGGGGTTTTGTGCGGATGCTCGCGTTGGACTGGGCGGGACTGTATAGTATGGTATTTTGGTTTTAAGAGGCACGTCGACTGCAGCAGTCATTTTGCGGGGCGGTGGCGTAGCACTGCATGATATGACATGACATGAAATGGTATGGCATGGCGTGGCGTGGCGTGGCGTGGCGTGGCGTGGCGTGGCGTGGACAGGGTAGCTGCAAGCAGTACAAAGCAGGACAGGGTAGCTGCAAGCTATACCTATCATTTACAACCAATAGATCCAGATACAAAAAGGGCCGGTTGCGGCGTCGCCACACTGGGTGAGCTAAGGCCCTTAAATGGTACGTGGCCATCAAGATAGATACATAGCTGCTACAGCTGCTATTTTTGAGATTCTGAATACTTGTGCAGACCCACAACCCAAATTTGAGAACCCGTGCCCGCCCCACAAGGAACTTTTCTGAGTACTCTGTTGAGCCCGCAAGTCTAAATTCAACTATTTCGCCTATTTTACATCACATCCAAGTCATGTATGCACAAACCAATGTGTGACGAAGTCGTATCAGTTCATTAACAACAGGAATAGCCAGAAAAGGACACTCATAAACGTTATACGCGTTTAATTACGCCAAACCCGTTTTCTATAAAACCGTTTTTGGTAAACGGCTCAGGCAACCTCGGCTTAGACAAAAGCTACACATTCATCCAAAGCAGAAGTACAGGCTTAACACTTAGCCATCCCTGTGCTAAGATACAAAGTTTCCACTTCTCCGCAGCGGAAGCGTATCGTGCGGGGTGAGGCAAGATCTGACACACAAAAAACTCCACCTTCGGGTAGTCTCCCCACCTCCACAAACTCCACCTGACGCACTAGGTAGTTGCAGGAGGGGGAGGGAGAGGGGAGGCTACAGTCAAAATGGTCATGAATAGGGTTCAGCACATTTTGGCCTCGAGGGTGCGTTAACATAGGCCCGGGTAGTCGGTCGAATACCTTTGGAAAGTCGAAATTGTTGCCCAATACCTCCGCATTGGGGAACAATTCAGCACACATCGAACGTACATGGTTGAGAGCGCCAGTATCATGCGACGTTCGACGGCTGTATCTTTCGGAGCCTGCAATATCGACCTTCATCTGACTCTTGACACCCCACGGCGGGGCAGGCCTTCGGGACCTTGGCATCGCCTCTGCCAGAACGACCACGCCGACCGGTGGTACTCCTGGGGTAGACAAAGTGGCCGGGAAAGCGGGGCTAATGGCTGTAAGATTGGGTCTAATGGCCTCATGCCTTAATGATGCGGACATGCAAGCAGCGTCAGAGTGGTCCATTGCAATAACGCAGGCCAACAACTATGTCTTGTCATTATTTCCGGCTTCGAAACTGCAACCGATTTGATTTTGAGTTTTGAATCAAAGATTGATCGCTTTTTGGCATAATGGCTATCGAAAGCAATACAAATTGACATGTAACACATTCATGAATACGGAAAAACAATTGCATCAAGATGCAAGTTGGAATCGGTAGGATATATAAGCTAGTTTCAATACAATCGCTAATTAGTAACTGTGTTCCTAAAGATGCTATTATTTCATTACGTCATGGAAACGTTTCCACGACGCTAGAGTGTGGTCAGACTGGCCGTGTCAGAATTGGCCCTGTAGCGGACAGGCTGACTCAGTTGCAGTACTTAAACCCAGTTTGTTAAACCCTAAACCGGGAGTTTGCGTGCTAAATGGTGCGTGTAAACTGCATAGGATAAAATTACATGTGCATGTTTTTGTCCTTTTCTTGTCATGTCCTTGCCTGTCTCTCCATGATTTTAATGCTTTATTTCAATCCGCACACGTGGGGCGTAGGTGTGTGTGGGGGCAACCCAGTTCTGCCAAACATGTATTATGGAGTTCACATTTAATGACGGCAGCTGGCCATTCATAATTGGTACGTAAGAATTTTCTCCCTGTTTTCTAAAGTTCTGATAGGGAGAACTGAGTTCCTGAACATAAAACCCTATATTGCGTGATAAATATATTGCGTACGGATAATTTTAGAAGGCTTTGGATTTAAAGTTAAACACGGTACGTTCAACCAGAACACAAGTATTTTTTCCCGGCTGCTCAGCTGGCTCTGACCATTCTACTAGTCATCATGTCTTTGAGTGTATGTTACAGGACATAATATCAATACGAGTGCAACCAGGTTACGCCTTGGTTTGCATGGTGGTGAATTTGACACCACTGTTGCGGAGCTTAAGATAATACACTGGTTTATTTTGAAGCTGATGTATTTGTGTGTCAATGAACTCTTTTGTTGATGAAATTACCCCCTTGATGAAAAATTCAGAAATGAATCTAGAATTGTGCGCCACATCTCACTGTCATCGATGACACAAGTGAAAACATGAATCAGTTTCGAGAGCGAATGGTACGGATATACATAAATATATATATGCAATAGGACGATCTGATAGTTAAGAAAAGCGACATAGCTGACAATACAAATAAAAGAAATATGCCATCAGGGGAAAAACACCACGGGAAAAGTTGAAACACATGCGCATACGCTCGTCCGTTCAATTCACACCCATGTCAACGTCACCTTGCGGCGCATCGCAACACCACAAGTGAGTCGCGCCGTCCGCCATGTCGGCAACTCTGACGTGGGAGTTTGGGCAGCGTTTTGATGTCATGCAAACTTTTCATGACGTAATGAAACAATGGCGTAATGAGCACCAGGTGTTCTACTTCGCGAGCTGGAAGCGAAAGTAGGTGAAATTTTGTTATTTAGGGCATTTTTGCGCCTGAAATGTATTCATAGTCACGACTGAGCATTTCCCATTATATAATATGCTTGCCTATATATCTTCAAACGTGAAGCAGCCCCTGTAATGCAGGCGCCACCGCTGCTGAACGCCAGGTGTGTGACGCACACCCTGTGAATTTTAGGATGAACCAAGGGTTGCAGATTCATTCAGATTTATATATGGAATTAAGTGTGAATAGCTATGTTACTGGCAGAGGCGCAACGAGATGCTGAAAATAGTACCGGTGAAAGGTAAAATGGGACCTAGATAAGACGGTGGTATTAGTCATATTCCTCGGAGAAACCAGGAAAATGGAGATGTACTTGGGTTGATATTTCGGCAACATGCCTTTATCGAAACAAAAGCAGAAGTGAAAGTTCCATTTCCGCTATTGTTTCGACAAAGACATGTGGCCGAAATATCAACCGAACTATATGTCGATTCTCCTGGTTTTTCCGAGGAATAAGGTTAGTAACACTGCATTTGAAAAAAAAAATGTGAAAAATGTTCCTCGCTAATGCACTGAACAGCTGGCGTAAAACGAGACGTAATACACACTGCTAGATTTCTTACATGCTTTCTTTTGTTTTCACGTGATACCAGTGTACGGTTTCCAGTTTTGAGCTTCAAATAATAGATATACGTCTATTAAAATTACGCCTGGCTTGTGGGTACGCTGGCCAAATGGTGGCCATTCGTTGCGCATTACTATCAAGGGAGAACATCTAGCAGGTTCTTGGATATGTAAGCACGAGCCTAATTCACGAAATTTGATGAGATGCGGATTCCCAACCGCCACATCTCATTTGTGATTCGAGGAAAGGCTAGGACAAAAATATAGTACAGCGCTTCATGTTAATGATAACTTGTGCCCGGCCGGGAGCTCTAAGACAATGGCACCCGGCCGTGCGGGAAATAGACCTCCAACTGTAATCTGATGTGATGATGATGATAATGATGATGATGATGATGTGATCTGAGGTGATCTCCAGCTTCCAGACACCGCGCGAGAAAAAAGATACCGTTGTGCAGGTGTCGAATCATCACGAATGCATACAACATTTCTGACCTTAGGTGAAATGTGAGGTCACCAGAGGTTTGGAAAAAACAGTGTAATTGATCGATGCGGTATAAACATATGTTAAACATCGATATTAATATTTAGGGAAGCAAGCGTTAAGGCTGTCGGTGGTCCATTCCGATCACGTTTGTTCGCGACAAGGGTTAGATCAGGCCAGGTCATCGCTCAAAATTGGTCTACCAGTAGCCTGCAGAAAACGATGTTTTTTTCCACAAAGCGCTTCTAAGTTTATTTCATTGGGTGAAGCTGTGGGACAAAAGTATCCCAGACCACAATGCCATTTTAGGCCGACCTAAAGGTCAGCTGACGTCAACTTAGGTCAACTTTATAAACCATCCACATGACAAAACTGATCAGCTTACCGGGTCTAAGTGTTTTTCTGTAGTCAGAAATAAGTGTTAGCCGGGTCTAAATGTCCAGTGCAGTTTTTTCTGATCAGAACTAATGTGTTGTACAATGTACATCTACAGGCACTCAAGTTCATGTAGGTCTTGTATACAATACACATAGCCCCTCGACGTTTGCCAGTGTATTTGTGACAAACTGAGAACAGGCACATTGGTACATGAAAGTATGCGTCACCAGCTTTACAAACACGATAAAGGAATGGTTACACCGGTCGTACACGCGCATATGACCTCTCCGCTACTGACAACAGAGGTACCTGACCCTGGTATGCCCTCATGTGATCTTGGATGTCCGCACGTGACCTTTTGTGACCTCATTATGGATTAGAATGAGTACACATATTTCAGTAAAATATATGATTCCTGCGCACAAACTTAGCTAATAAAATTGTCTCATAACCTGGGCCAGTACTATGTGTTCTGTGGTATGATTAGTGTTGCACGTGTGAACCAGTTTTTTTCTTCATATACAAATGCCAAAAGGACAGAAAATACGTGCGCATACGCATTTTTGACGAAAAATAGCAAAAAAGTATTCCACCTAAAGTCACTGACCTCACCTGCTTGTAACAATCGGGATAATACGCTTATGCCTGTTTTAAATCGTTGTCCAAGATGCATCAGTTTTTGTTTATTGGAGGAGCGTAATTTCAAAACGTGAGTTGTGCAGGGGTGGGGGAGGGCTGAAAAGTGGAAAATGACTCAACGCACCACAAAGTTACGCCCATAAACGGGCTCCTACCTAGATTTTGCTCACTATCTTCTCAAAGTTGGGAGTGTGGGGAGTCCAGTTTAGGCGCTGAAGCACCTCTCCCTTCCCCAGCTGAAAAGGAAAATCCACTCTTGATTTAGTATATCTTTCTGGTCCTCTCACGGGACTAGTACTAATATCCTCCCGTCAGCAAAGACAAGGCTATGCAGTGCAGTTTCAGTTTATTGTCATCTCGTTTGCTTCGGAACGTTGTCTTATCGACAAAATATCAAATGATTCTACCTTTACCGAGAAATGCTAAATCTATTTATGACAATGATTGAAATAATATTTTATCGTTCAGACTTAAGACTCGTAGATCACAGAAATGTGCCACTTGGCCAACATTCACAGACATAACAAGAGCAAGTGCTGTAACACTAAAAATGCAACATTGCTTCTAAAAACGCAACCATGCTTGTAAAACGCAACAATGCTTCGAAAAACGTAACAATGCTTCTAAAAAGGTAACAATGCCAGTAACAATTGGTGCATTGCCAAAGAGCATACGCATTTGGCGCAAATGCGATGTTCGACAATTTGACCTCCATAACAGGGCCAAACAAGTAGGTATCAACCGATATTCTGCACATTAGCCACTGGCTCCTTAAGTTCGCTAACGATGTGAGCACATCAGCACGCGAGTCGCCACAGCTTAAAATCATGTCAGCTCACGAGCCCTTCTCAACTTCCATCAGTTACAACCAATAGCAGAACACTGTGTAGGTAAAGACATAGGTAAATGAACACTGTACTCGCTCTCGGTCTGGAGGTACATGGCGACAGGTGTGACGTCACCCTTGTTTAGCCTGGAGCAACATGGCGGCAGGTGTGACGTCACCCTCGTTCGGTCCGGGGCCGCGTCCGTCACCTAGTCTTCTGCATCAGGTGTTTCGTCAGGTATACGATGTTGGTGTCGACGAAGTCAGCCAGGTTTGTCCGCTCAAACGGCTCCACCTTCTGAGTCTGCGTGTGCCACACGAGAATCTGAAACGATAACAATCCGTGGGAAACAGTTCCAGGCGCGTAGTTTCGGAAAACGAGCTGGGAGGGGGGGGGGGCTGTTCAATGAAAACAGGCGTAATGTATCTTAAAAAGCCAACGTACGGGTTCCTCCACAAACTTGGTCGACTTTCTTCTAAAAAATTAGGGACTGGAGGTCACGCCGGAGACGGGGGTACCTCAACGGAAAACTGCACCCCTTACCGGTTTAATGAACCAGTTCAGCAAAGCAGCCAACCAGCTTATTGATCAGCTTCACCCCAGCTTGCCATCCTAGACGCATGGGGGTCACCTTCACGACATGCCATGTGATCCGACACACGCCGGGTTGACCCACGCTAGCCTATAGACCTTGCTTCCACCGCTCGAATGGCTCGCTACGTGTTCAACCGTGCTAGCTGCCGTGTATTGACCCAGCTAGACACGACCTGCTCATGCTTTGGCCACGGCAATGGGCATTGGTCAATGCCGCGGCCACCAGCGGGATGGCACTGGCTTAAGGATCCGCATGGGGAACCTGCGTACCAAACCTGCGACCTGCATACCTGCGAGCAGTTGTTAGCCAGGGGTTCCAGCTCATCCCTGCCAATGTTCAGAGCCTTCAGAAACCCATCCTCCTCGTACCCAGCCTTGTAGGGCATCTCCGCCTCAGGGTTCTGTCGGAAAAAAAAATCATGATATGGATGGCGCATGGCTATTATAGGTTACTTAAACCTATTGGGATTCTATTGGGAAGGTAACAAATACCAAAAGAGGACTCTATTGGGGAAGTGACAAGTACCAAAAGAGGACTCCATTGGGGAGGTAACAAGTACAAGAAGAGGATTCCGTTGGCGAAGTAACAAGTACCAGAAGGGGATTCTGTTGGCGAGGTAACAAGAATGAAAAGAGGTGAACAAGATCTTGAAGTTAATGGCGCACACTGCTTCCAATCCATATTTCATATTTGTGCGGAGGGGAGCAGGATGGGAGCGGGAGCACGGGGAGGGGGGTGTCAGGAGAGCAATGCCTGATAAGAGGCATGACGGCAAGTTCGCATCGGGATAGGAATGTGGAAGAGAATCGTGAACGTAACAGGACAGAACAAATTAATCATACCAGAGCGCTGTACAGACCGTCAGCTTTTCTCTGGTGTTTTACCTCCACCAAACAGAGGTCGCTCTTTCCAACGGCTGCCTCATGTCTGACTCTTATCGCCGAGGAGCAAGCTCAATGACCCCGTGAACTCCGGGCAGCGCGCTCAGTGACCCCGTGAGCGCTGGGGCGCGCGCTCCGTCACCCCGCGGGTGCTGGGCTGAGAGCTCAGTGACCCCATGAGCGCTGAGAAGCAAGCTTTGTGACCCCGTGAGCGCTTGGCATCGAGCTAAGTGACCCCATGAGCGCTGGGTAGCGAGCTCAGTGACCCCGTGAGCACCGGGCAGCGAGCTCAGTGAACCCTTGAGTGCTGGGGAGCGAGCTCAGTAACCACGTAAGTGCTGGGCGACAATCTCAGTGACCCTTTGAGTGCTGGGGAGCGAGGTCAGTGACCCAGTGAGTGTTGGGCAGCAAGGTCTGTCACCTCGTGAGCGCTGGGCAGCCGGCAGCCATACCGTTCAACCCAGGGCACCAGTGACGTCACGTTCTGCACGCAAATGAAGCTTTGCGGCCATGTCACCGGGCGCCAGCAATCCTTGGAGCTTCTTTTTGAGGTTATCAGTCGGTTGATCTGGTTTTAAAACGCGGCGCTCTGCTCTGCTGCCGCGGCCGTGACTTGTATGATGCAGCGCAGTGCTGCACCACTGGCGCGAGATTCCCATCTACATGGGAAGTCCGTTGCAGGCACGCAGGTCACAGAGGCGTGGGTCTTCAGACTTGAGCAGTCACTCTGCTGCAGCACGCTGGCTGCTCAAAACACCCCTAAGTCTGCTGTTTCTGGAATCACTGTGACGCCTTTTGAGGGTCTACTCCTTGAACAACTCGATTGTGACGCCTTTTTGAGGGTTCACTCTCTGAATAACTCCCTGGGGAGAAATCTTTCTCAGTGTGGCCGTCAGGGGTGCTCGGAGAGGCGGCCCCGGGCCGGGCGGAGGCCGCCCACTAACCCGCCCGCAAGATTGCGGCCAGGGCGGTGGCGGGATGCCCTTCTTTCTGCCACTCAGCAGTCATTAGTTTCGATGACTGAGGTGTCTGCTCGAGGCGCCGCGGGTGGGACGGTGTCGAATTTAAACACTGGTTGCAGTGTACGTACTAGTTTTTGCAGTTGTTTGATACCTGCGGCATCCGTTACACGGGGGAAGGAAAACGTCATGAATTTTGTCTTCCGTTTGTACTGTGTTATTTAAGCTTTTGGGGAAAAATTGCTTGTACTCTACTATTTGACCACATTACTGTACTATTTGACCGTCCTACAGCACTATTTAACCACATTTGACCGTTTTACCTGCAGTTCTTCCTCTGTTTTCATGCATAGAATTCTTCTCCCCACGACTTGTTCTTACACTCACATTACATTCTGGTTATGTTTCACATCAGTCCACGCGCTCAAATTTAGCTACTTTGCGCATTCTGCTATTCATCGCGTCCGTGGAAAAGTTTTCCACGCTTCATGGGCGCACAGCTCTTCGTTGCATTCCCTGAGTATGACACTAGCATGTCGGGTATACACATGGAACGAAGCAAGGCGTTCAGTTGTATGATGCTTCGGCGAAAGTAGCATTTCCCACTGATTTGGGGCACTTCCCCGTAAGTGTTTGTACGGTGATGGGTACTGTAGACATCAACACTGATGTCTGGCAGCGGTTTATCATTATTCAACACAAAAATCGCAATATATCATGGTATGTCGCAGGGTCGAAGTTTCGCGAAGGGAGTTGAGGGGAAGGGTGGGGGCGGGGGCTGAACCGTGAAAATAAAGAAATATACTTTAGAAATTCGCCAGAAAGCGGTCGCCCTCCGGAATTGTCCAACTTTTCTCTCAAAGTTGGGTGGTGGTGCTAGAGCTTCCAAGTTGGAGCGGGGCAGGGCCGGAGCTCTCCCAATGGAAGAGTAAACTACACCCATCTCATGTCGTCAAAACAATGCTAGGTTTGGATAGATGCGACTTTTGCCATCAAACGAGCTATGAGCATTACATACATATGACCATATCATACTATATCACTACTACGTAACTAGCGCGCGTTACTAGAACAATATTGCGTTTCTAGTGCGCGTGCCTGGACGCGCCTCTGCGGCCGACCGCCGGAGGCGGCGGCCGACCCACTGCCGCTGCCAACGGTCACCGAGACGCCTGTCGACTGATGCCGGTGAGATCGCGCGTATATCACAATATAGCACTTCCAGTGAACAACCATTTGCTCAACAACAATTAGGAACGTTAGCCCTAGCCTCATAGGATGTGGGGGGGGGGGGGGGATGGGGTTGATGCGATCTCCCACAAGGTTATCTAAGACCACCTCCTATGAATGTTGAGCAATCGCGCCCAAATTTTTGGTAGCCTATGGAGACTCCATAGCGCGCGTTTTTACCGAAAACACGCGTCACTAGCATTTCTGATTTCGCAGCAGCGGCGCTTTTTGAACACCACACGGCGATCTACGACCTGCGCCGGTGGCCGGCGGCAACGGACCGTGCCGCCGAGCGCGCGCGGCAGGCCGATATTGTTAGATTAACGGAGCCACATATCACAGAGATGCTCTTAAACACGTACAAATATACACCATAATACCCAAGATTGAACACAAACACGCCCGAGTATGCTTCGCGTCGCTACGACGCATGGTGCTGGGCATGTGAGCATGCAAAGACGAGAGAGAAATTTCGATTTTCGGCCGGAAAATTCGGCTTTTGACCTGGCCTAATGGGCCAATTAGTGACCTCGCAACATAACAGTTATTACCAGCCACGAGATCTGGTTAAAACCAACCTACTGATATTTTCCGCTAAACACTACCTTAGGAAACGGCAGGGGGGTCACATCGACCCGATATCAGACCGCGTTGTGAAAAACCGTAAATCAGGGCGAGGGTTAATCCTCAAAAGCACTTACAAAGCTCTTCGAAAAGGAAATTATACCCATAACAGGAGATCACATGCGACATTCGAGACCAGTCGGTCAAAGGATATTGGAGATTGATCAGATAGATACCCAGTACGTTACAATAAACTGGGAATGATAGGGATTGTCTAAATGTAGTGTAAATAACTGGCAGTTAATGAATTTAGTGGATAGCGCTCGCAATATCTGTGTACTCGCCACTGTATTACTGTATCACCCCCAGTGATATCACTGTATGACTACATCACCCACAGTGATATCGCTGAATCACCGTGCCACACACAGTGATATCACTGTATCACCGTATCACCCCCAGCGATATCAATGCATCACTGTTTACTCTCGCTCTTCATTACTGCGGACTACAACAGCATGACAAGTCTACCCCACGTTTGAAGACGATGAGGAGCTGCCACGGCTGAGCAACGCTCACTTTTTCGCGCTGGTTGAACGAAAGGGAACAGAAACACAGCTGACACCGGATCCCGTTCTCAGAGCCTGACGTTCTCAGCCGATCCGTCCTAGACATGGAGTCCCGGTACTGGGTCAAGTCACCGCTAACGATGTGGACCCTTTTTCTCTTTTTTGGGAAGGCGGGGGAGGACAGCCGCTGCGCCGTGACGGCAAATTGTCTGAGAAGGTGAGAAGAGGCGGCGCCACGAGTCTCACCACGTGGTGACGTGCAACGCTTCATGTTTTTTTCCGTGGTAAATATTGGCGTTAAGTCGTGAGCCCAATCATGAGCGGCTATGAAAACTAACTAACCGACAGCGGGCGACCTTGACCGCAGACCGAGCGTTGGTCGACGCTTGTAGCCGTTTGAGGGTGCTGATTACAGAGGTGGTACATGATTAGTATGAATGTGTCATCACTCGCACATAGAAACACAGTTAGCTGCAGAGAACCTGTCTTTGCTGTGCACCGGAGATGAGTTTATTGCGAAGGAGGCCTCATTATTCAGCACAAAGTTTGCATCCAGCTCGGGAGAAAATTCCTACATGCTTACGTGACCCACCCAGAATGTTTACTGGACCCGACCTTGCTGGCGTATTCCCAGCAAACAGGCCTCAGGCTGCGTCTATGTGCTGCAAAAATGAAATGCTGTATATAATAAATAACTGAACACATATATGGAAACTAAAATCACGTGAACCTTGCTGTTGCTATGGGAATTGCATGGTAGCAGCCTGACGTGCTTCTAACGGCAGGCTTGCTACCTGGATTGCTTCACCGCCAGTGTGGAACGTCACCTGGCAGCCTGGGATGTATGCGATGTTCCACACCGACTCCCTCAGCCCACCGCCGACCACAGACAAGGACTTTGGGCACAAGCTTCCGTAATTAGAATGTTCCGAGAGGAGCCGTGTGAAACATGTCAACAAAAACACACGCACCTAACCGCTGCCTTGGGAATTCCGCGCTGGGAATCCAGCATGCTTTTAACGGCAGGCATGCTATCCCGACGGCTTCCAAGCCCGCGGGAACCGTCTCGTCGCAGCCGAAGCCGCAGGGCGTCGTTGTCTTGTTCCTAATGGTGCATTCTAGTCATGCAAGCTTGTGCCCAAAGTTTTATCTGTGATCCATGGTGGGCTGGGAGAGCTGCCGTTGAGTGGAAAGGGGCTGCCGTTTTCGGGTCTCTGCTGCCGTCGGATGCGTTTCTTTTTCGTGTTTTATCAAATCGCCTCTCCCCTCTTCCACTTAACACGCACGCACGCACGCACGCACGCACGCACGCACGCGCGCGCACGCACGCACGCACGCACGCACGCACGCACCACCACACACACACACACACACACACACACACACACACACACACACACACACACACACACACACACACACACACACACCACCCACCACCACCACCAGCAAACGTCCCGTTCCTCTGAGCGTTTTGAAATTATGTGATGTTGCATGATCATCAAACAATCCAAAACGTATAACGAGGGGCGGAGCCAGTGGCCTAAACCAATTAGAGACAGCGAGATCGTCCTGCGTTTCCCGGAAGTGCCTGATGTGACCGCTGCATGGCGAAGCGCTGAGAAAGATTTTTCAGGTAAACATCGAAGCACGCCACTGACCATAGCCCATTAGTAAAATCCAAAAGCCATTCTTTTAGCTCCCAGCAGACGAGATAGCTCTGTTTGAATAATCTGTTTCAGACAAGTGGTTATGCTAGCAAGTCTTCCAAAGGTTTTGATCGTCCTAGTGGACAATTTTGATTATCGTCCTAACGAACAAAGGTTATTATCGCCCTAGAATGTTATTATCGTTCTAGCGGACAAATGTTTTTATCGTCCTACGAGATTTCAATGGATAATTTCACTTGGTTATCGGGAGGTGTTTAGGGTCTCTACAGATCTTACAACATTGAAATGGGCCCTTTTACAAGCGCACCTAGCTTAGTACTTATTTCTTGTGTCCCTACCCAATACTAAAACGTTTACTTTCCGTCATATCGCCGGTCACAGCCAAACAGGTAAAAACTTCACCGTCTGTAAACCTTACATGCATCCATTATTGGGATTTCACATGGCGAAGTATCTGGCAGAACATAAGATTACTGGAACCAAAATCAGGCTGTTTGTTATCTCATACGATGATGGCGCATCAGAACAGTTTCGGTGTAGCTACGGCATAGGAAGGATTTTCCGTGATTAGCCCTGCTATTAAGGAACCAATAAAACACATACGAGTATCAATAATAAACAGCTACAACGTTGAGAGAAAAAAAAACAGCTCTGACGATTACTGGTGAATCAAAGAATGTATGGTGTGATCCAAGCCATCGTTGCATCCATTTTCATGCCGCGATAAATCCCAGCTATGCTGTTTTCCCATGTCTGCTCATTTATTTCAAATCCTTTTTACTTTTCTGTATTCAAAAATTTCTTGAAAAGGTCATGCCTCTCTGTGGCATGAGCATGGGTTGTGCGAGCTGCACGCATCCCCGGATGTTCATTTTTGTTTAAATAAACGTAATTTGCACCCCATGTTTGCCTAGATGCCAGGGCTGAGCAGCTACTCAATTGTGAATTTCGGGTTGCGTTAGCTCACGAAGACTTAAGCCTGCTGAAAAACGATTGGTCAGTGGGGACTCTAGAATTCAGAACCCGTGTGGAATATTCTGCCTTCATGGTAACTAACATCGGGTAGGTAATGTCAGTTTGCGAAGGATTTCATTCGTTACTTGAATATAGGCTGCTTGGAAGGGCCTCGACAATAAAGATTGAAAAGGAAGACATGGCGGCATTGGTGTTCCTCATTGGCTTTAATGGTTATAATCAAAGTTACAGTAATGACATAATCCCGATTTTTATTAACCAGTATAGTACCGTGGCTTTATAGTAATCATATCACTTACAGCAATTACAGCAATTACGTTAACTCTGTAATAGATGGTGTGGGAGTTGATTGTGGGACTGTCATCGAATAATTTTGGCCAGACGAGACTCAGATCGCTTTACCAGATAGGTTATTTTTTGACACAGCTCTCACGTACAATTTAGCGAAGTTCCGATGAAACTTGGAAACTGTCCTCAGCTGATAGCACTCATCACTATCGTTTTCACCCGCATTATCTCCATCTGACATCACTCATTCAACCTCCCAGTACTTTGGAGGGAATAGCATTGACTCACAAGTCGTGGACAGCTTGCATGCTGCAAAGGCGGACTTCAAGCGACAACAGTATATGCCAGCAAAGAAGAAAGGTAGCGGGGAGCGGAACGGCGAGAGAGAGAGAGAGAGAGAGAGGAGAGAGAGAGAGAGAGAGAGAGAGAGAGAGAGAGAGAGGAGAGAGAGAGAGGAGAGAGAGAGAGAGAGAGAGGAGAGAGGAGATCGAGAGAGAGAGAGAGAGAGGAGAGAGAGAGAGAGAGAGAGAGAGAGACCAAAAACACGCTCAAACACTTGCAAAAGAAGACCATTATTTGAGCATCCAACAGAGTACCCATCACATTAAACGACCCACGGAAGATGACACATTCACGTTATCATAGCAGTGCAGTGTCCTAACCTGTCGCAGCCAGTCCACACTGACGGCGAAGCCAGCCATGTCCATGGGGAACTTGCGACCGCCGATCCAGCCGTCGAAGAAGGCGACCACGCGGCCGTCCTTGACGACTGGCGAACTGACGCCTTGCCGGGACACCAGGCCCACTGGGAAAACCGACACGCGTCGCGTGCGCTGCAGCTGCCGCCAAACGCAAGAGCAGAGGTCAGTCAAGGGCGCGCCAAGGGCACGCAAGGACACGTGCCGCCAGCTGACGCACGCAGCGGCAAAGGTGCTGTCGACCGGCTGACATTTAGGGATTTCATTTGGGGATAACAGCGCTTCCACGCCGAAGGAACACCACATTCGGTATCTTTGTGGGTTGGGCCTACAAACCAGCCATTATTAATGCATGTTGTACAACATTAACGACATTGAGATAACAAAAAAAGAACACAACATCCGTGTGTTGGCCCCGATAGATTTTTTATAAAAAAACTGTATGCTTTGGGGTTTTGTGTCCTGTAAGTCCACGCAGTGACATCAACATGTCTACTGATCAAGATCATGATGTCCCATGCTCTCGTGAAAACGAGACATCCAATGCCCACATCGCAGGATTGGGTTACGTACAACGGCTGAGTTTTAGCCGTAGTACGCTGGGTTAGCAAGGTTTAATGAGCGGTGTGGGGCCACCTCGGCGTTTTACGCCTGGACCTTACGACCCTCTTCTGAGCATCAGCTTTGTAGACTTTTACCATACGATTGCGAGCCTCATGTTGTAACGATACGAACCATCGAGATTTGCGCCCCTTCCCTGTGTGCTGTGTGACGTAAAGTGTGATGTCTCACACCACACTTTTCTCGTGCCGTCATTCGGTCGTAAACCGCGCCAGAGGCTAACGCCATAAGGCTAACGCCTCATCCTAACTCTTCGAGAAGACTACGACAACGAAGGGTTATCGAGCAGAGCGAACTACGAGCCATTTTTACAACACTGTCGGCAACAAAATCACAACAGCATCACTGCTACACCTCCGAGATAAGAGCATGGCTTCTCTTTTGATGGTGACTTGCGGCTACCGTCACAATCAATAGGTGTTTTTTGGGCGTGGAAGCTGGGCTTAAAACGAATCTGACGCCGGAAAGGACGTGAGTGAAGAACAAAAATGTTTTTGTAAACGATATTTATCCGTCGCGATGGCTCAGGTGGTTAGGGCGGCCGTCTTCCGATCCACCCACCCGTGATGGGGTGGGATCGAGTCGCTTTGGGCGCCCGCTATTTTCCAGACATGGCCTGCGGCCGGTGGCAGCGGTCGTTTTAACGGTCAGTTGACGTCCGAGGGTAGGACAGACTGTGCCGAATATTGCGGCACGCTTAACTTTCGCCGCCAAATTCCGCCGCTGATCCGGACTTTCACGATCAAATGGTGGGGGTCAGAGGTCACACAACAAGCACGGCCAAGGGTGAGCTTTGATCCCAGAAATCCATCCATTCAAAATGTTCAGATTAAATATTTGAAGAACCCGCGAAATCCAAAAAATAAATATCAAAAACATTTTTAAAAATTAAAAATTGACACCCTCCGCCTGTCTTTCCGCCATCTGCGAGGCGGAAGGACAGACAGAAGGTGTCCATGAAAGGACGCGAGCGAAGCCATCCGTCGCACAAGCGTCCGCTGCACCGCCAGCAGCAGAGAGTGGCACAGACCAAAGGCTCGTTGATTTCTGGCATTTGCCGTCAAGAACTCGGCCCGCTCCGAAAGGTTTCATGAATCTACGTCAAGCCACTGGCAATAACCGCTCGTGCCGCGACGGGCACGGGGCGGCTTTTTTAGGAGCACTGCTTGGCGGTCCACGGCCGGCGCGGGCGAGGGGCGGTGACCGGCGATCCCGTGAACCGGCCGCGGTGGGCCAACATTGTCACATAAACCAAGCTAATGCATCAAAATGCACTCTTTAAGCATATGCGACTATACACCGTTGTACTCAGAATTTAACAAGAAGCAAGCCTGTATCGGCTTCGTGTCGCTACGAGGCATGGTGTTGGGAATGTAAACATGCAAACTGAAAGTTCGATTTTAGGGGAAATTCGGCCTTTGCCCAAGCACGATGGGTCACTTGTCGGCCTAGCAGCACGACAATTATGACCAATCGCGAGATCATGTTGAGACCAATCCACTGGTTTCCGCTCAGCCCTATCTCGCTTAGGCCAATGCCAGGGAAGGGGTTCGCATCGGCCCCTCAATAAGTCTGCGTTAAGAAAAACGGGGAATCAGGACGATGGTCT